GTGTGCTGCAGGGAAGGCACCTGCCCCTCTGCTGCAGCACCACCACATCGCAGCCTGCAGCACTGAGTGCCTGCACAACGCACCTCGGAAGAAAAGCCACTTTGTAACAAAACAGCCCTTTGATTTACCACACCTCTACAAACAGTAACTAACCCATTCCCTGCCTGCCTTGGTTTAGTTTTCTGTGGGAGGGCTTCTCTGACCCATGCTCCTGCTGGCTGTGCTGAGCCCCCAGAGCTGATGCCTGCGGCTCAAACAAACAAGTAGTCCTTCACCATAGTGCATTATGACAAACTGCAGAAAAACAGTGCTTTGTGATTTATGGACTAAAACAGCAAAACACACATTATTGTGTTTGCTCCCCTTTCCATTTCTCTGGGTACCAACTCATCACAGCAGCCTTGACTCCACTCCCTCGACATTCCCTGACCAGGCCAAGGGCTTGCTAACGGACAGTTCTGCACTTTGTAAAATGTCTTTCAGCATAAGCGAAAATAGAAGGATGGCCCTGCCCTGATTATGACCATTTTAAAAATCCTTTTTAGTTTCCTTAGGGCTGTAAGCATTATTGGCTGGATTTAATTCAATGAACCTGAAGCAATGAAGTTCATTGAAGCTGGTTTGTACAAAGAGTTTTCTTTCACAGAGGCAGCATTAGACAATGAGGTGCTGGATCCCAGGAGAATATTAAACATTTAATATACTGGCAAATATGACATTATATAAAAATGTTCTGTGAAGGATGAGCAGCAGAGCTAAAAAGCATAAAAAAAGCTCATGCTCATCTCTAGGCTGCTGCTGAGCACTGCAGACCTCCAGCTATTGAACAACCCCAAATTCGAGAGCTTTTCCTACCTTTAATATTACACAGTGGCTTTTGCTAACATCAGACATGAAGAGCTGAGCAATTTCCTATGTAGCCAACTGTAAGCAACTCTTATTCATAGATTGCAGCAGTAATTTGCAGTAATTGTCCGAAACTGCAGTTTACTGAAAATACTGTTATTATTGATTTTGGACCAAAGCTGAAGCATTTTTATAAGAGAGATTAGGAGTTATGGTTCCCTAAAGAACTGATTTTACTAGCTGTAGGAGATTGTCACTATGAAAATGAATTTCAGTACTTTTCAGTATAACAATGTCTTTTAAATTAATTTTCTTAGTAATTCCTGCACCCAAGGTGACCAACAGTACCCAGCCTACTCTAGCTACATCTTCTCCTCACTGGGTTAAAGGCTGCAGAAACTGCCAGTTTTACAGGATAAGGGTGGCAATAGGAAAGCACACTAGTTAACTTTTGCAATACACAAACTCTCTGAAGCAACTTTGTGAGTCTCACTGCTGTACAGGCTGCCCAGAATGCTGGGGGAAACCTCAGCTCAGCAGAAGGCAGTGACAGCATTGCCACTGCTGTCACTGGAGCCAGATCTGACTCTACATCTGTATCAAAGGCACAGCAAACACAGATGCAGGGCTCCTGCATAGGTGCCTGCAAAAGACTGGTCAGTGCCATACAAAAGATGACATTTGAATACTCCAGGCAAAGCTTTCAAAATCTCTTTCCTTAAGATTAATTTCCAGTTTAGTGCTGCAAAACACTTCCCTGCTGCAAGCAGCACATCTCACTTCAGCTTCGCCTATCGCAAGCTCTAACTTCCTACACATCACCATTGCTGCTATTATTCTACCATTAACAAGTGACTATCATCTCTGCCTGACATTATGCCTTTGCCACGATTGTCAATTAACTCTTTTCTCTACCCCACGCTGTGATTAGGTGAGAAGCCACCCTTTCCTTCCCTGAGCTACAGCCCCACAACAGCAGCTCTTCTCTGCAGACCAGGCTTCCCTTCAGGGAAGGTAGCACCAGTTAAGGCCAGCAAAGACAAATGTGCTGGTACTGATTTCCTTGACTCCTCCTCAGAAGAGCAGAGGAGCTGGGAGTCCTCTCAGATTCAGGTCTGTGCTGGGACAGCTGGTCCTGGCAAAAAAAAGCCTCTCAAAACCCACTCTGCATCACAGCTAAGTCATGGATGAGGACCAAAACCTCAGGGGTTAGTACGGTGGCCAGATGTGATCACTGGTTTCTTGTACAGTTACCTCACTGATTTGCTCTGTGTAGGTTCCACCAATACTGGACTTTCTATCTGTTAGTTAAATAAGGTTTCCAAGCTCGACCAAGCCTGCTGATATTAAATAAGACCGTTTTTTTTTTGAAAGAGCTACTGGGCAAGCAAATGTTGTTTTTTTTCCCCACCAAAATTAGTGAAATGGTTTTCATCTGCTTTTTTGGGGTTGTTTTTTTTTTCTCGAGAAGCAAAATAACAGCCTTGCCGATTACTCTTTGCTAAGGTACCCGATTGTGGTGACATTGAGGCTGACCTTGGAGTCACCTCCCCCGCTGCCGCACTCTCCTTTGTCGTACCACCATTTGTTTTTCAATTTGTCCAAGAGGCCTTGCTCATTCAGTTTTAATACTGCCAGGTTAACAGCATTTCTTGAAACGATAAAACATAACTTGTAAGAAAAAATGCACAAATGCTTAGGAAATCGTAACGTATAAAAAAAGGAGCACAAGAGGACAAATTGGCTAAAATTTCACAGAACGTGGAGCTATCAAAATGTCTGTACAGCAAATACAGGGTTAAATATTGGAAGGTGGCATGGAGGATAACATTTGCTCAAAACTGAAGTGTGCGGGATGGGGAAATCGTCTTTGAGAAAAAAAGTAACAAGAACACCACATCATGCAGTTAACATTCGTCACATATGGCAGGTTAACTCGGCTTTTACCATTTAAATTGAAAAAGCCATCGAACTGTAAAATTAAAACAGCAACAAACAATCAGAAAGGACAACACGAAGAGAACACAAGAAAAATGGATGCATTAAATAAATGAAACCATAATTTACCGTCTTATTTAACTCCATGGAATATTGAAGATTTTAAACTTTAAAGTTACCTCAAAATCCACAAGAAAGAAAATGACAACACAATACATCAGGGTAGGTGGAATACTATAACAACATGGATATTGTTATATTATTCCACCCACCTTAATGCTGAGCCTTTGGGGGTTGCTACACCATAGCCCTTGGAATCCAGGTTGCCTCCAACTTTCATGGTGTCACAGGGTTTGCGCTGCTCGATGTACTCGTTCATCGTCGACTCCAGCAGGAAGGCAAACTTCCCCTTTGACTTCCGCACCCTTGCCACCCCGTCTGCCGTAGTCTTGGTGAACACTGAGGGCTCGGCTGACTTCATGTACGACCACATTTTCTCATAGACGGCTATTTTTGACCTCTGGGAGAGACAAAAGGAAGGAAATCAAGAGTCCTGTTGGCAAGTGCACAAGACCAAGCTCCTTGGGCTTAGCCGGCCTAGAGGTAAAATGACACCAACTACCCTTGACTCACAAAAAGTCAAGGTAGCTTGTAGACAGACACATATTCCTCTGAACAATGACCAAATGATAAAATGTTTGGGGAGGGGAAAACATATCTCAGACATTTATTCTAGTAATTTCCATGTAATTGGCAGCTTGGCAGTCAGAATGAGCAACAGCGTGTGCCCATCCCAGTGCTCAGCTCTGTTCTGGCTTTATCTACCTGTGTGCTGCTCTGCTACTGAACCAGAGGGAGGTTGGGAAATCCTAGCTCATCCATCATGGCCAACAGATGCAAAAAGAGCCTCTCCTCTTCCCACAAATCCTCAGCACTGCTTTTTAACACTAACTGCAGCTAGGAAGGACTGACGTTTGCTTATTACAAGTTTTCAGCAAGGCAGGAGTCTGCTTTCCACAGTGGCGATGGCAGGTCTATGATACAGGAGTCCATGACATTCTAGTGGCTTCTAATAGTGATGCTCATACAAGGGATATAAATAGTAATTACAAAATCCTTTATGAATCAGTAGTCAAACTTTCAAAATCTGGTTTCACATTTTCCTAAAAGATATTTGTGTTTGCTATTAGCAATAAGCTGAAAAAAATTGCTGGTTGACTGCATCTGCCTGTCATCTATATATATTTTTCCTCCTTTCTCATTTTGAGGCTGAGCCAACCCTAACAGCCTCTAGCTCAGCATACAGGTTTTGTAAACTTGGAAATCTTGAGAAATGTGTTACTTCCCCTTCTCCCTCTTCTCCACCAGTAACATTTAAACCACCCTCAGATCTCAAAGCCACCTCCAGACTCTTAAGCATTTGTATCCTGGACTACTGGTTAAACTTTCCTGCTTGGTCAACAGAAGGCAGTAATGCCAACTGCATTTCTCTAAAGTCTAGAAATCCAAGGGATTTATATAAGGCTTTTGGTCCAAGCTGTAGGTATCTCGAATTTATGCCTCCTACTCCTTGCCAGTTCCCTGTCCACAGCTTTCCTTGCAGAATGGGAATGAGGCAGGCAGTAGCTAAACCTACTTCAAATTTAGCAAACTTGTGGCGAAAGACTGCTAATGTCCATCAGCTTGATGACTGAGACATGTTTCCTCCTCACTCAGGACAATTTAATGCGTTTTGAATAATGTAATTCTTAACAACCAGCCTCCAAACACTTCAAAGGGAGTAAGCCCTGCCTGCACTGCTTAAGATTAACATGCTCAGCTGGTGTTGCTACAACTGATGGAGAGGAGCATGGAGGGCAGGATTTTACTTTAATTATCCGTCCTGATGAGCTGAAAAACAACTGAAAATGCAAACCAATTAAAATCAGCCCAATCGACAACAGGAAATCAGAGAGACAATACAGCCCAGCCTTAGGGGAGCTGGCTGGGTGGTGGGTGTGAAAAACATGCAAGAGAGAGAGCATCTCCTGCCTAAAAAGAGGCTGTTTGGCTTCATTTGTCCTGCATCAGGAGTAAGAGTGATATAAATGGGGCTTGACATGGTCCTTACACAGGTAAAACAAAGAATCAGGGGATTTTCCTGACTTCTCCCTGCATAGCAAACACCGAATACCCTGAGATTGACAGTGGCTCTGAAGCTGAGGGGGCAGTGTGGCAGCTCAGCTCGTGGTGAGGAGCTGTGCTCGCTGCTCTGTGCCAGCACCGCACGGCCCTGCCCCACCACGACTGCCAGCCTCAGCAGGTGGATTTGGAGAGGAGAGCACCGAGCTGCATCTGCCCATGGGATGTCTCACTGGGGCTCTCAGCCAGGCACCCATGAGCTGGCAGCCAAAACATGCTACTAGCCACTCCATCACTGACTACTTGAGGTGCCCTCTCCAGCCACACTGACCTGGGTGTCCTGCTCTTCCAACAACTCCCTTAATACACATGGGCATTTTCACCTCCTGCCCTGCTGGGAGCTGCCCAGGACACTGCACAGGACGCAGACGCTCACTGGAGGGGCTCTGGGGACCCCAAGGCTACCAGAAATGCTGGGAGATGGTGGTTGTCACCATCTCGGTGGCTGCCACTATCTTTGTGCCCTGTGGGCAACAGAGCCCACATGGCAGCTGTGTGCACCTGTGCCGGGGCAGTGCAGGCAGCTGTGGCAGCATGGGCAGAGCAGCCAACACAGGCAGAGCACAGCACAGCCCAGTGCACTGCCCATGGCCAGCCTGCCTGCTCTCCTTGTGCAGCTCCCTCAGGCAGAGAGGTAACACAGACAGCCTGGCCAGCCAACACAGATGCTGCATGAGCAGTGGCAATCCTAGTTTCAAGGCATGTCCTAGTTTCAAGGTTCTCGTCCTTACAACCTTCATCTTCTTTTAACATAAATAATACAAACATACCTGCCCATTTATATTTGCAAATGGGCACCTAAGGGACAAAAGGAAGGTACAAAACCAGCTCTACTCTTTCTCTTTATACCTCTCAGCAAGCTAAAGTGATGAGTCTTTCAAATTGTGCATGCACTACATATGCTTTTGCTTGTTTTCTTCTGCAGAGTGTGCCTCTAGTTACACAGATAAACCAGAATTTCTTTTCCTTTTAATCTTTTAACTCACACCTGAATACCTGCCTGTAATAAGTTCTTTCGTACTCTTTCCAGCTGGCTCGACTACCTGAAAGCAATGGCCAGTGCATCTGTGCAGTGTTAATAATCACAGTTATCTGACGAGTGCCAACAGCACGCTCAGGGCTGCACATGGTCCAAACAAAGCATGTTCCCTGCTCCAAGGGCAAAGGGTGAATATCATCACTCATCCTTCAGAAAACCAAATTCCACAACTTAAAACCTGATATCTTTTCAACTTCAACAAAGAGTCTAAGCTTTACAGTTTGCTGCCTTCATTAAACTCTTCTGGATACGTAGTTAAAAATCAGTTTCTGTTTTTGTATTATCATTGCCCACCTCTCCTTCTGCCAAGAGGGATTTTCATAGTGTCTTGTTATTATCAAATTAACTAAACTAGAATAGCAGACTGATTTAGTAGAAGTAGACAAAAATACAAGCTAGAAATGAACACAACATGTATTGACTGGGAAAGATTAAAATAAAATACATTGGGTATGTGCTGGTTTTGAAGCAAACAGTCTGGCTAGGGGGTCTGGGTGAGGACACACGGGTGTCCTGGGAGAGAGCACCAGGGAGGTGACAAGCTCTGGCCACTGCGTTCTTCTTGGTTAGTGACGCTCTTTGCAGCCATTCCCCTAAAATTATAATGAGGTCAAAATAATGACTTATGATGAGGCTTCTTGGAGAAAAGGTCAGTGCCACCAGAGAAGCTGTGACACCTGCACACTCACTCAGCAGTGCTTGAGGGCGTCTTCTACCCCAGGAGTCATATTTTACACATGCTCAAAGCCACGAAACAACCAGTTGACTAAAGCTGGTCAAAGACACAATGGGATGAAATGAAAGATGATGTTTTGAGTATTTTCCTTTTTCCAATTCTCCAATTGCCTCAACAAAACCCAACCACCCTAGATGCCCCTAAAAGACTTTCAGAAAAGGAAAAGTTCTTTCCTTCCTAACTATAAAGCTGCAATCCTGTGCTGAAAGAACATTCTCACCCATCTGTCCTCCTCTGCAGACATTCACGCCGCCCATCCCTGCACCCCCAGAGTCTGACACCCATGAGGGGGGACAGACAGCAGAAGCAACTATAGAGAAAGTATTTACACTCCAGAATAAGGTAAGGTCTGACAGATCTGCACTGTTGCTAGAGTTCAGTGGCAGTAAAACATTTTTCCTCTCATTAAAGTGTTACTTTTAAAGAGATACTTAGAAAAAAAAGCTTAAAAGCAAAGATTTAAACCAATTCAAAGCCCATAACTGCAGTAACTCCCTATGCTCTGCAACTCCTATTTCATTGCTTTGATATTGCTCTCCAGAAGTCCGCCACACACATTTCCTTGGGATTTCAAGGGGATATTATTATAATTTTTTTCTTAAAAGCAACATTTTCAGTGTTTCATCTAGTCCCAGGGACACATTAAAGCGTCTTTTCATTATCGCAGCCTTACTGTAGATATAAATAGAGTTGGCCTTTGCTTTGTCAATAGTGATGGCTTTTTTTTTTCTCCTTTATTTGGAGAATTGTGCAGAAGTATGAGCCACAAACACCTCAGCCAAGGGTGCAGGCAGCTCCCTTCCGTGTCAGCAGAGCCAGCAGCTCTCGTGCCAAGGACTTGCTTCACTTGGCCCGTTACTAATCGGTACCTAAATACACATTGCTTCTGGGCAGCAATGCATTCATTTGAAAAGAAGGTGCCAATTCAATCAGTCCACAATTTTAACATTGTCTTTCATTCTAATTTTCCCAGTTTTGATGTGTGGTTGGCTCCAGTAGAGAAATTAGAAATCAAACAAACCCACAGCATCCAAAAGCATGTCCAGTCGGGGCTGGGTGCACAATACAGGTGGTGGGAAGGAGGCAAGTTTGCCTCTCAGTCGCAGTTATTTCTTCAGTCCATCCAAGAACCAAAAAAACTCAGCATCTGCAAACCTGGCTCCAGCTGAGAGAGATCGGATGCCTTGGTTTCACTTTTGCACATCCCAAACCCCAGCACATCTTGGATGATTCCTTGACATTGGTTAAATTTAGCTCTAAGATATCTTTGTGGCTGAAGCCTTCTCCCATTGACCGAATTACCTTCCCCCTCTGCAGACATCTGTCTCACGCTTCTGCTAAAAGTGACATTGCATCACCTCCTCCACTGCTGAGTAGTGGTGAAGCTGTTGCACTTGAAGGAAACAGCATTTCTCCTCTGTGGTTAAAGTACCTTACAGGGATGTCCTTTGCCCATTTTAGAACATTTAACCCTCTCTGCCACCTCCTCCAAAACCTGCAGGTCTTCGTCCAACTGACTGCCTCATGCACCCCACTGGCATATTTTATTCAAATGACCATGTGC